AGAAGGGTCGGAAGGGTCAGACACTTCCTAATCTACTTTTTACATTGTCTCCATAAATCAAATTTATTATAAAATTACTATCATCATTTTAGTCTCATTATTTTTATCTGATTATTTATGTAGCTTTTACCCTGCTTCCATCCTTGTTTGATTCTGTTCCTCTTGGGAAGTTAATATTATCCAATGAGTCATTTTTAAAAATATTTGTATTTCCCTTAATTTACAAAAGGGGGAGAGGGGTGAAAGAAAAAAGTGAAAAAATGACAAAGATAAACTCAAGAAATAAAACAATATCGTTTAGTCTAATTTTTAAACACATCATTAAGTGCTGACCCTATGGAGTACTATTGATCCGTTTTTCCACTACGTTAGTAAAGACCCAGTTCATTAAAAGACGTATCAACAATCAAAGGGAGCAAATCTGAGGTCTCACTGTCTTTCCAATATAGACTTATTATATCTTAACTTTGCAAAATATTCAGCGCAGTCTCTCATGATATTCTCTTTAACGAAACAATAAAACAAGGCTTAGATTATTTTTATTAGTAACTTGAACGGAGGGATCAAAGAAATGATGATCAAATCTGCAGGTGATACAAAAATTAGGAGTAGCTAACACTTTAGAAAAGAAAGGGATGATTATAAAATGTCTAGACAGTATTGAAGAATGAAACAAAATAAACAGGATGATATTTTGAAAGAGAAAACTTGCATTTGGGGCTGGGGATAGATGATTAAAGGGGTACAGAGGGCAGAGGTTACATTATAATTATGGATGCTGGCAAAATGATGTCCAGGCTATAAAGGGTCAGGACAATAAAATAATGACTATTCCCTAGAAAAGAGATGAATATGAGCTTTGTGTTAAAAAAAAGGGTGGCTAGATAAATAGGCAGATAAACATGTATACACCTGTATTTTCTTAATTCAAAGATGGCACAGGGACTTTTATATCTTTTTAAAGTTTAAAAATAGCAAAAATTAAGAACAAAGAAAAGATTGAATATTTGTGCATGTCTCATGATATACATATGGGGGAGTCAATTGTGTTGCCAGAATCCTGCCTTGTAACCTTTTCTGCAATCGGCCACTCCCTTTCCCTGCAGCTGAAAGGGATTGAATAGGGCCTTACCTCTACCCACCGTGTTGTTAGAGACGGTAGGATGTTAAACATAAAGTACCAAGAGATTAAAAAAGAGCCTTCATAAACTGCAGCTCAGTCCAGGCTGCCAAACGCCTCAGAACAAGGGATTCAAGCAGTTCAAAGAGATTTATTAAACTCTGTAATAAATGAGGGCTGAAAATTCCTATTGCGGTTTCCAAATTCTGCGCCTCACTTTTAATCCTGGCATTAAACATGGTTTATTGAAGTTGTGTTATGATTCTTGCTTCATGGTTTGTGCCTTGCCATGAGGGGACTTGAACCTTGGCAACATAGCCTCCCTAAAGAGGACTGAACCAAGACATTTTGTTACCTGGCAATATTTTACAGTATTAAATATTTTGCCACCTGAGCCAGATAATTCCATAAATGCTTCTCTACTTCCTCATAGAAATACAATAATAAAGAACAGTTTAGCCTTTCAGCATAGCCTGATAAGGTATCTGAAACACACACACACACACACACACACACACACACACACACACACACAATTATAGATTGTAGAAAATCTGTTCCCATTTGGCACCAACACGTATATTTTCAAATAACTGATGAATAGAATAGTATTGCAGTACTCTACATTGAGCATTGCCTTCTTATACTCATTTGCACAACAATAAATGCAAGGCAGGGACATTTTTACATCTTTTAGACGGTGGGTTGGAGAATGTGTCTGAAGCCTCTGGTACTTGACACACATTAGACTTGCAAGTAATAGTGATTTAAATGTGAACAACAACCAGCATGATGAGATGTCCAACTGAGCATCAAAGAAATAGGAGAAAACAAATTACATCTTCTTGCATTTTACTATGTAGATTGAATCTATTTATTATAAGTATTATAATTCCAGTATGGCTTTGTAGAAATATTCAAATGAATGTGAAATATAAATAATAAAAAAACCTAAAAGCATAGGTTTAAAAATCATTTATAAAGTACAAAAGGTGGGGGAAGTTTTGGCCGTCAAAAGGTAAGATCAAAACAATCTGTGCATGTTATGTTAAAATATCTGTTCTGCAGGAGACTCTATTTTCTAATATAGTTCTTTTGAGATCTACAATTTAAGTGAATTTGGTTTTGGCAGTTCTTGGAGTCAGGGAAGGAAGTGACTACTTAGATCACAATTGAGTCCAAAATTTATGTTGTTAAGTGAAACATTTGTTAAGCGAGTTTTGCCCCATTTTATGACCTTTCTTGCCATAGTTGTTAAGTGATTCACTGTGGTTGATAAGTTAGTAACCTGGTTGTTAAGTGAATCTGGCTTCCCCATTGACTTTGCTTGTCAGAAGGTCACAAAAGATGATCACATGACCTTGGGACACAGCAACGATCAGAAATATGAACCAGTTGCCAAGCATCTGAATTTTGATCATGTGATCATGGGGATGCTGCAAAGGTTATAATTGAAAAATGACCATAAGTCACATTTTTCAGTTGTAAGTCGAGGAATACCTGTATTTGGACGATTCTTATACCAATGTTCTCAAGATTGGAATAGTCCAGACTAAGAGATGGAGCTGAGACCTTAAACTTATGTCACTATAAATGACCTGGCAGTGACTAATGAGCACTGAAAGCATTTTGGCTTCCAATCAGTGTCGGTTCCATAACCTTCATGAATCCAACTTGTCTTTTTTAGGATGAGGGAGAAATAGTAATTAGTCCTTCCACCCACAACTTGTTCTCAGAAGTAATTTTATCAAGTGTCTTGTTGAGTACAGCTTCTACTGATTGATAGTGCCATCAACTGCAGCTTTTGTTTGCAGCAGCCTTTGGGGAAATGAGCTACAGATTAGGAAGCCACTAGCTGGCCTTGATTTCAGTCTTTTTTAAGGACTAGAATTTGTTTATCTGATCATTCTATGATGCAGTTTTGTTTTGTTACTCTAATACCAATAAGATAATCTTCTTGGCGTATAAAATTCAACAACTCTCCTCACCAGATTTATGCAGACAATTTTCAGCTTGAGGAATGGTATTTGTTGAAATATACCAATTGATACTATTTTCATAAGTTTCTAAAAACAGAAGAACACAGATTGTTGTTGCAGATTTAAGAGACAACATCTTATGAGGAAAAATCAACACTCCCATATTTTTAAAATAAAAATTATCAGTATCAATACTTTACAAATGCAGCAAAATACTTAGTGAGTATTAGAATAGCTCCTGAAGCCAAATTCTCCAGCTTTGACTCTGAAGAATATAACCTTACAATGTGACACTCTTTCTGCTAGCTTCTAGAACTTCCAAAGTGAACTTCCCTGAGGAAAGAAGGGATACAACTAGAGATCAAACATCATAACCATTTGTCAATATGGAATAACCAGATTCTGGGTTGTGTCTTTGTTATATCTTCACAGAAGTAATTTGCAAACCCTTCATTTCCCTTCCCCTCTTAATGTGAATCTCAGAAACCTGATCATTGAGCTGCAATGGACTCACTTTGATTGGAATAAAAGAGAAACAATATATTAAGTGGGCTGTCTTGCTTGAAGATACAGTAAAGGACTTTCTGTTTATTCCAAGATAGTCTTTATTTAAATCATTTATATAGTATTTCTTGTTTAGAAAATCCAGATTATAAGAAAGTAGGTTACAGAAAGAGATTCTCTGGTAGCAGCAACATGTGTAGGATAGAAGAGGGGTAGATTATAATTTCTTTCCTTCACCTAACAACTTGCTTAGTATCCTTGATTACTGGGGGTGTAGCCTTGTTGCTTGGCCTTTCCACTGCTTAAGAAAGGATTGTGTGTGTGTGTGTGTAACTAAGACTTGTGGATTTCAACTCCCAGAATTCCTCAGCCAGGCATGCTGGCTGAGGAATTCTGGGAGTTGAAGTCCACCAGTCATAAAAGGGCAAAGTTTGGAGACCCCTAGCCTATGCTAATATTAGCAGATAATGAAATGTATGTATTCAGCTTCAGGGCCAACAACTGCTATGGTTTGGTATTAAAAAAAAACTACACACCACTGAAGTATATGCTGTCAGCCCTTTTTCATGGTGTTTGCTTAAGACTTCAGTATTCATTCCATAAATGAAAAGTAATTATATTGAACAAATCACCTTTCCAACAGAGTGAAGAATTCTAATTAATTGACATGATACCATCCCATCTCATAATTCTGGGTGTTTACAATAATGTCAAACAGTTGTCTTAAAATACAAACCACACATAATAATAATTTAAAAAACCAGAACACCAAAGGTGGTCATATTCTCCCCTCCCTCAGCCCAAGAAGAAAGGATCCAAGCCTGTTTCCGAGGGTAAATTGTTCCATAAGATTGGGACTACAACAGAAAAGGCCTGTCTTCTGTTCCATACTGCCTTCACTTTCCAGAGTGTGGCACCATGATCATGCCCTCTCTTGATAACCTACCAAGATGGGCAGACTAGTTTTGAATAAGGAAGTCCTTAAGTAATTCACTGTCATACCATACAGGACTTATAGGTAATCACCAACACTTTGAATTGGTCCCAGATGCCAATTGTCAATTGATGGAGTAGGTATTTAGTCTGGCTTATTTCTCTTCGTCCAGTCTCTGACAGTCTGATGATACCTCATCCCAAACTGGTAGCTTTATCCTAGCAGTTTCATTCAGATATTAAATTAATTTTTCCATAGGAGACTTGTGGGTATTGATGTAATAATAATAGCAAACATCATCTCAATATAGTAAACACCATCTCAATATAGTACTGTTTCATGATTTTAGGGGAAGTTGTAAGAATTTGAAATATAAAACATTGTTTTCCTCCATTCTATGTTACATTGCCATTTCAGTTACTGGAAAGACTCTTACTCTCTCTTTCTTTTCTCCCTCTCTCAGGAATTATTGGTCCATTTTGATTAAAATCCAACTGCTAAAACAGGTGAAGACAGCAGAAGTTCTTCAGAGGCCAGCATCTTCTTTTGTTTCGTGCTGCTGTCAATGAGTGCCTTCTATCTTTAGCAGTGCACAAAAAGCACGCTGTGTCCTTGCATAGATGCCTCTACGGGTCAGTTGCAATGGTTGAATTTGGAATTAAGGGCCAAATGGGTTTGGGCAAAGCTATGCTCTGAAAAAGTATGTTGCCAACATCCTTCATCTGATGCTCTTTCATGAAAAGGAATGCTGCAGGCAAATATTGTTTCTAATATGGAATATTAAACAAAATATAAAACCAAATGTTCAATGTTATTATTAGCCAATATTTAATTTGTGTTTCCTCTTTTTTTTTTTTAGAATCACACATCTACAGAATAATATCTGTATATATATATATGTATGGCTAACCATGAGCAAAGCATTCCAATAAAATAATAAAGAATGTTTAATGTTTATTTTATATTGTCAGGTGTTCTTTTATTCAAAATTTCAAAAATAACTTAAAAACTGAACGTCAATTCTTCTATTGAAGAATCTGATTTCCAGGTATATTCAAATTTAAATAAGTTACAGGCTGGCTGATCTTAAATTTCCAGAGAAATTTTCACTCATGAGAGGAGGGGTAACTTTAGAACCAGTTTGCTTTAGTGGTTAAGGTAGCAGGCTAGAAAGCAGGTGACCTGAGTTCTAGTCTTGCCTCTCAGCCCAACTCACCTCACAGGGTTGTTGTTATGATGAAAACAGGAGGAAGGTATTTTGGATATATTCACTACTTTGAATAATTTCTAAAAATAATAAAGGTGGGAAACAAATAATAAAAATAAAAAAAAAATACTCAGAGGAGCTAGGAAACAGCTTGCATCTTAGAAAATTCTCTTCTATGCTGGAGGCAGCTACAGCATGAACCCAGAGACAAAAATAAACAAACATCCCTTTGCAGATATTATTTCTTTAAAAATATGTCTCTAAACAGGTTGCCTTTGACCGAAATTTGCATTATAGGAGCTCTACATTGTAAAGTTTAGGATGCCAAAGCTTCTTTATCTACCTACTTTGGATATTTTTTTCCCCTTAGGCAAGTGTAATAACATTTTCCATGTTCTTTATATTATGAGCTTTATTTACCAAATTGGCAATTCCTCTGTTGAGAAATAACTGATTACAGCGTTCAAGCAGATGCTGTCATCTCAAGATATGCAGGTGTCTGCGGAATATAAACAGATGTGATCATTCAGAAAATGAACCCTGAATTCATTTGTAGGCAAGAAGGAAAGCTAATCCAGCCATAAATTTAAATATAACCTCTTCAGCCTGGCTCTAATAAGCGTAAGCATGGTGTGTTGCATGTGCTCTACTGCTCCGACAACAGAACATCAGCCTTTGTGGCATTCAGCAAGAGAGACTTCTTGATCAGAGAATGGGATGGATTCCAAGCCTGTAATTTTAACTGGAAGTCTTGGTAAGGGACATAAAATAGTTAATGTGAATAGAAAACCAATTCATTACAAATTAGGTGAACACATTACTGAAAGTTTTAGTCAATTAATCCAAGGAAAATTATTCTAAACCATCAAGAGACAATATGATTCTTCTATTCAATTCCATCATTTAACATGGTCGGCAATTTTACCTCAGGAGCCGAACACGTTCTTTGACTGCTTGCTGATTGATATGCATAGAATTTCAGACTAAGCCCCCAGTTTATCTGATTGATTGATATTTTTTTATAAATAACTGAATGGACAATGTAAGGAGAAGGGATTTTTCTGTGCACCTGTCCACAGTTAAAATCCAGCCCTAAACTAAGTAGGCTTAGTTAAATAGACTTCTTGTGAGAATGGCCCATTCTTTTCTGACTGACTGATAGTATGAAGAGAATGCTATTGGATTAGATCAGGCAGGCTGGCGGAGGAATTCTGGGAGTTGAAGTCCACAAGTCATAAAAGGGCCAAGTTTGAAGACTCCTGGATTAGGTGGAATTTACAGCAAGACATTTCTTAAGTGAAGGGAGAATGTACTGTATTTATATCAGAAGAGCATGAATTAGAGAGGAATGGCATGTTTCCAAGGTTAGTTCTCAATTTATAAACTGCAGTTTTCAGAGAACTACCATTATGCGATCAGGTAATCTTGCAGAACAATGAACCAAACTTCAGTGCAGTGCAGAGATTAGAACTTAAATTGTCCATTTCCAAATTAGTACATTAGCCTCCTGTATTGTACTTTGGGTATATGAAACATTGAATTAGGCTATGCTGTGTTATTTTGGCAGTAGTTCGCTCTTCTAGCTTGTTTCAATTTAGTTTCTGAACGTTTCATTACCAGACTAAGTAACATCAGCAGCAGGATTTTCTTGTCCTATTCTTCTTTAGCTTATATATGTCTTGTGTGCCAGTGTGGTCAGTTGGTCGTGCGATTGGTTTTTCATTTGGAACTATATTTAAATTCTGAGCAGCTGATTGATTCTCTTGTTGATTGGTCATTTGAATGGTCTGGTTTCTTACATAGTCATATGTTGGATCTAAATCAATATGCTTGTTAATTGATCCTTTGGTAGAATACAAGGCTTCAATAAATTCACGTATGTGGCGGGTATTGGCATGGGCAATGAGTTTTGTTCCTTCCCAATCGAACTGGTGTTGTTCAATATCAATGTGGCTTGAGATCAGGAATTTTTGGTCGTGCTGTTTAACTGCTAGTCGGTGTTTGTGAACCCTTGTTTTCAATTGCCTTCCTGTTTGTCCCACACAGAACTGATTACAATTATTGCAATTGATTTGTATACTGTGTTGCTATTGTCTTCCTTCTGTATTTTGTCTTTGACTTTAGGTAGCTCTTTTCTGAGTATAAATGTGAGTTTGTGAGCTATCATTATTCCTAGGGGTTGCAGCCATTTTGGATGTTCCTTTGATGTATGGCAGGACTTGTTTTTGTGTTGTGGTTGGCTGTGTATTTTGCCGGGATTTGGATGACAAGCATCGTATTATGAAATTTTTTGGATAGCCATTGCGGAGGAAAACATAGAAGAGGTGTTTCTCTTCTGCTTTTCTTAATAACTCGATGTTGTTTGGCTCTTTTGAAAAGGGTCTGGATGCAGCTCCACTTGGGTACAGTGGGATGGTTGCTTGTGAAATTTAGAATTTGGTCTGTGTGAGTGGATTTTCAGTATACGCAGGTTGTTAATTCACCATTATCTTATCTCCTTATGTCAACATTTAGGAAGGGAAGTTATTGTTCTTTTTCGTCTTTGCATGTAAAACTGATCCCAATGAACACGTCATTGAGTAAATGGTGTGTCTCTTCTCATCTGGAGCATTTACTGATGGCAAAAGTGTCATCCACATAACATACCCAAAATTTTGGCTGGATGGTTGGCAGGACCGTGCGTTCAAGTTTCTGCATTACTGCTTCTACTATTAGGTTGGATATAGATGATCCCATAGGCGTGCCTTGTATTTGTTGGCAGATTTCCCCATTGAATTTGAAGTGTGTTATGAGGCATAACTGCAGAAGTTTCATGGTAGTGTCAGTGGACATGGAGTGTTCTTTAGGTGTCTTTTCATTATCGCTTTGATTTTCTGTGAGTAGATCACAGATGGTTTGGCCAGGTCATTGTTGATAGATGTGAATAATCAAATTAGACCATTATTTCTTCTTCATTTATTCTTCTTCAATTATTTTAATTAATTGAAATTGTTCAGGTGAGTTTATAGAATAAGTCAAATTGTTGACAAGATGGTGAAGACTTTTTCTTAATGTTTTCACTAGTTTCTAGGTTGGTGCTTCAGATAGCACCACTATTTCATTTTTGTGTATTTTGGGAAGTCAATAAAATCTGGGTATAGTGGAGACTTGTGGTAGTAAAATATTTATTTCTATTGAAGTTAGTTGTTTTTATTATTCCATTTTTATCAAGGTGTTTCTTATTCCATTCTCTAATTGTTTTGTTGGGTCTTTATTGATTACCTGATAGGTGTTAGTGTCATTAAGTAAATTCTCAGCTTTCTTGATGTAATCAATTTTGTCCATTACCACAATTAGTCTGCCTTTGTCTGCCGGTAGGATGATGATGTCTCTATCTTTTCTCAGTGTCTTTAATACTTTCTTCTCCTCTTGGTTATATGTCCTGTCTTGTCTGTTCCATTGGATGTTAGGAATGATTCTCTGTCTGATTTCTTTTTGTGTTCCCTGGTCAAGTTTGTTAGTTTTTATTATGTATTCTAAGTTGGCAAGGAACTCAACTAAGTCCATGTTTTTGTAGTTAAAATTAAGGCCTTTTATGAGGATGGCTTTTGCATCTTCACATAATGGTCTACTAGACAAGTTTTTGATCCGTGAATTTGAATTATCATTTTGCTGTTTACAAATGAACTTGGCTAGTTTCTTTCATAGGGCATTGTGTTTTCTGGTCTGGAGTTTGTCAGATATCATGTTGATTGTGTTTTCCAGTTTGTCTGTAAGATCTTATCCGATTGCGCTGAGGCATTCAGTTTTTTGTTCGTTTATGATGCTTTGGTATTTCTCCAGACGATTGTGTGCATCAGTAATCATGAACTGAAGCATTTTACACCCATTTTTGTAGGGTAGTTTCCATGCTTGTGGGTGGTAAACTGGAGGTCTGTAGCATGTTTTTTGGCAGTGTTTTCTTTCGGAGGCACTCATGAAGGAAGTGTAGTTGTTCATGGGTCGACAATTGTCTGATTGCAAAAGTCTCCCAACGACGGGCATGTTTCAGTGGTTTATGCCCATATAACTTTGAAATAATAGAAAATACTGGTAGCTTGGGTTTTAGATTTTGGCAGTGATTTGCTGTCCAAGCCTGTTTCAATTTAGTTTTTGAACATTTCGTTACCAAACTAGGTAACATCATCAGCAGGATTTTCTTGTCCTATTTGTTAGGAGCTATATTTAAGTACATGTATATTTATGCTGTATTATCCTAAAGTTACCTGCCAATAAGTCCTTGACTTACAACAGTTCATTTAGTGACCATTCAAAGTTACAAGAGCACTGAAAAAAGAGACTTATGACCAGTTTTCACACTCATAATTGTTGCAGCATCCCCATGGTCACATGATCATTATTCAGACGCTTGGCAACTGGTTCATATTTATGACTGTTGGGGTCCTGTGATCCCTTTTTGCGAACTTCTGACAAATAAAGTCACTGGGGAAGCCAGATTCACTTAACAATTGTGTTCCTGTGTTACTAATAACTGTGTTAACAACTGCAGTGATTCACATAACAACTGTGGCAAGAAAGGTCATAAAATGGGCAACATTCACTTAAATGTCTTGCTTAGCAACAAAAATTTTGGGCTCAATTGTAGTCATAAATCGAGGACTACCTGTATTCTCTGTATGCTAGTTGCACAGATTTGTGTA